CGCTAAGAGCCTCAGAGTCCTAAAAATCCAGGACTTCTCTCAAAAGACACTGGCACCCTGGAAGTCTCACGGCAATTTGGAGGTAAAAAGAAACAACAAACAAACAAAAAATGTAAACACAAAAGAAAACAAAAAGACTCCAGATGAGCTATCATTAAAAAGATAAGAGAGGTAGTCTTGAACTTTTTTCTGCTTATAATTTTGTGTGTGCCCGTTTTGTGAACGGCGTTCTTGGTTTAGGGCTTGTAAAGAAGTCTTGTCTCCTTTGCTAAGATGGCGCTTGCCCATGGGAGGCCTAGTTCCAAGTGAAGGCAATCTATGTTCACCGGAGACAGGCAAGGCAGAGGGGTCCCGTCTTTACCACTTTATTTCCAGAATATATTGACTTGAATCAACCCAGACTGCCATCACTACATAGCTCTATTTGCCAAAGAAACTCACACCATAGGTCATTTCCCTCCAAGCCCACAGACCCAGCTAAATGAGAAACAGCAGGCAAACCCCAGCAGAAGTCGGTTGGCAAAATATTCACTTCAGCCTGGTGGTGGTGGTGGTAGGCAGAGGCAGGTGGGTCTCTGTGAGTTCAAGGCCAGCCTGGTCTATATTGTGAGTTCCAGGACCACCAGGGCTACATAGAGAAACCCTGTATTGAAAAAACCAAAAAACTTCACCTCCGAAACCGTCCAGGTCATTGAAAATGAAACCTGAGGAACTGCCACAGTCCGGAGGGATCTAAGGAGCCGTCACAATACAGAGCAGTGTCCTGAACCTTCACAGTTAAAGGTTTATTTATGTTTTATGTATGTGAGTGTTTTACTTGCATGCATGTCTGTGCAGCATGTGTGTGCCTGGTGCCATTGCAGGTCACTGGATCCCATGGAATGTGGAATTACAAATGGTTGTGAACCACCACGTGGGTGCTGGGAACTGAACCCTGGTCCTCTGTCTGTAAGAGTAGCCAGTGCTCTTAACCACTGAGCCATCCCTCCAGACATTGATTTTAACATGTGGTTTCCTCCTCCTCCTCCTCCTCCTCCTCCTCCTCCTCCTCCTCCTCAGGATGGTTTTCTTGAAGGGTAGCTGGCCTGGCTTGATTTTTGTCTTTAAATCATGCCTCCTCATCAAGGTCCTCAGCTTCACTTCCGGTGCCCACAGCATCCCATTCTGGGTTCCTTACCAGGAAAAATCAGTTACCAATATGGACTTCAATCTGCACTCCTGAAACCATCTGGGGAGACATGGTTTCAGCTGAATCCCAGCAGTGGCCAGGTGGACCCCTTTAAAAAAATCATGAGGGGGCCAGAGAGATGGCTCAGTGGTTAAGAACACTGACTGCTCTGGCAGAGGACCTGGGTTCAGTTCCCAGCACCCACGCGTCGGCTCACAACCATCCGTAATTGCAGTTCTAGGGGTATGCATACAGTATAAACTCAGAGGCACACATATGTGCACATTAATACACGACAAATAAATAAAACTCCTGTTAAAAACCTGTGCGTGCAACACTCAGCTCCCAGCACACCTCCTCCCCACGGTCACATTTCTGAAACACACACTCTGATCTCTAGTGAGAGTCCAGGGAGGCTCACCTAGACCTTTCTAGCATCCTCATGACGCTGTCACTGATTTGTGTCGGATGACACCCGGGTTCTGACAGTTTTTGGCATCTGAGCAAACTCAGTTTCCAGTTTTCTCAATGGGGAAATGTCGTGGGACGTCTGGCCAGTTAAAGCCAGCCGTTGGGTCCTGACAACCACTGCCCCATCTCCACGCCCAGGCTCTCTGGGCAGCCCACCAGCCTGTGTGCTCATGGCTACAAAAGCCAGTCAGTGTTCAGAGCTCAGTGAGCTGATCTGTGGCTCTGTAGGAGCTGGGAAGGTAAGAATGTTGCGAGCAGGGTAGACGGTGGAGGCCTGGCTCGTCAAGTTTCAGAGGGAAGCCAAGACTTTCCCGGGCTTTTGTGTGAAGATTCTGTGGTTCTGGTTAGCGGGGCTGAAGAATCAGCTGTGATTGGTAAGGGACCGGAACCATTATAGTGAAACCTTTGCTTTGCTGGGATGCTCGATGCTGGTCGGCTGGAGCTGAAAATTCAGCAGTGATTAAGAAGAGACCAGCATGGTTGAGGTGAAAACTTCTGGGAAGTGTTCCCTCAGGGTCCGCACACAGAAGCTGTGTTCCAGACACGGCCAAGGTTGTACCTTGTGCTGACCGGTGAACTTGGTAGTGTTAGGAGTCACCTAGGCGCGCAGATGGTTTTGAAGGTGTGAAGGGGTCATGGAGAGCAGCTGAGACTTGGCACCGTGTGGTAGGGCTGGAGTCCCTGAAGAGAGCCCAGGAGAGGCTATTGAAAGTGCAGCTCAGTAGCAGCAGAAGACTCCAGCATTTTGGAGACGCCAGTGCCATGGGATGACCACCAAGAACAGCAGCAGCAGTGGAGTGTTACCAGCCGGAGCCTAGAGGACGAGCTGTGTGTGCTGTAGAGGGCGGAGCTGGAGAAGTGACCCAAGCCCCTTGGAGGAGCCCAGAAGATCGTGAGTGAATCCCAGACAATTGGACATGGAGTTATTTACAGTGCTGGAGTTTGGTTTGCTTTGTCAGATTGTGACTGTGCCCTGGTTCTTCCCTGTAGTGGTATTTGCTCTGCCCATGACCTTGGGCTAAAGGGCCCATAGGAGGCGGTACTTCCTGCTGTTGGTCGTGACCTCTGATTAGGGGTTGGAGAAGGGTCACGTGCTCCTTCTCCCTGCTCCTGCCTGCGAGGTGGGTTCGCTCCTGGTCAGATCAGAGGACGACTTCAGCTGTCTACTCCGTTCTGTATTCGTGAGTGTATTTCCTCAATTTATGTCTTAATAAATTCTGTTAGCCATTTAATAGACTCATGTGGATTGATCGTAATACTTCCCTCTTGAAAGTATTTAACTTAATTTTGATTTTTTTGGTTGTCCACTTCCCTCCCCACCCAGACCAGGCTGGCCTTGAACTCACAGAGGTCCGCCGGCCCCCTGTGCCTCCACCTCCTTTAATGCTGGGATTAAAGGTGTGTGCCACCACGGCCCAGCTTAATTTTGATTTTTACAGGAGTCCACGGCTGAAAGAAAGACTTTGAATTTTTATTTTAAAAGTTTTGGGATTTTGAAAGAGATTTGGGATTTTGAAAGAGATTGAACTTTTATTGTGTTTGAATTTGTAAGGACTGTGGGACTTCTAAAGTTATCTATGTTTTATATTGTGATATTAATATTAATGAGTTACCTTGGGGATAAATGATAAAGGAAAGGTTCTAAATGTGTCTGTGTGTCAAGGTGACAGGGGTCAGTCGTACTGGCTGGTGACATGTCAACTTAACACCAGCTAGAGTCATCAGAGAGGAGGAAGCCTCAACTGAGAAAATGCCTCCAGACTGGGCGGTAAGCAAGCCTGTAGGGCATTTTCTTAATTAGTGACTGATGGGGGTGGGCACATTGTGGGTGGTGCCATGCCCGGGCTGGTGGTCCTGGTTCTAGAACAGCGGTTCTCAACCTTCCTAATGCTGCGGCCCTTTAATACAGTTCCCCATGTTGCGGTGACCCCCAACCATACAATTATTTTTGTTGCTACTTCATAACTGTAATTTTGCTATTGTAATGAATTGTAATGTAAATAAGTATCTGTGTTTTCTAATGATCATAGGTGATCCTGAGAAAGGGGTCACAACCCACAGGATGAGAACCACTGTTCTCTGAGCTTGCAGGCTGAGCAAACCATGAGGAGCAAGCCGGTAAGCAGAATTCCTCCATGGCTTCTGCACCAGCTTCTGCCTCCAGGGTCCTGCCCTGCTTGAGTTCCTGTCCTGACTTCTTTAATGATGAACTGTGATGTGGCAGCGTAACCCGAATAAATCCTTTCCTTCCCAAGTTGCTTTGGTCGTGGTGTTTCATCACAGCAACAGAAACCGTAAGATACCGAGCCTCAGTTTACTCCCCTGTCAATGGGAACATCTCCATGTTCACTTCATAAGGTTGAATCTGGTGGCTCCGTGTGTGACCAGCAGCTCCAGCCACTAAAACTGGACTGATCTGGACTTGGACTGCCT